ATCATTAAGGTTGGAAAAGACCCTTAAGATCATTGAGTCCAACTGTTAACCTATCACTGCCAAGTCCACCACTAAACCATGTCCCCAAGCACCATGTCTACCCTTCTTTTAAATACTTCCAGGGATGGAGACTCAACCACTTCCCTGGGCAGCCTGTCAGTGCCTGGAGACTCAACCACTTCCCTGGGCAGCCTGTTCCAGTGCCTGGCTACCCTTTTGGTGAAGAACCTAAACCTCCCCTGGCGCAGCTTGAGGCCGTTTCCTCTTGTCCTATCGCTTGTTACTTGGGAGAAGAGACCGACCCCCACCTCGCTACAACCTCCTTTCAGATGAATCTTCCTAGATAAGGATCATTTGGAGATCCTTATCCTTGCCATATCGGGCACTTCTGCTCAGACCTGACACACCCGGGGCTAAATCCTGCTCATTCCTGTGTTAGTGGCAGACATAGAGAACAGCTCAGGTCTTTTTCACCTGGGGGAAATGGCTGCTCCTGTTGTAGAAAATACCAAGTGTGTTACATTAATTACCTTTCCCTGTTACGAGACTGATGCCAAAAGGCTCATATGGTATAAATTAGGCAAGATTGACCAGCATCAGTGGATTTTGTGGGTTTGGATTGGTTTGTTTGTTTTTGGTTTTTTTAGTGGTGTGGCTTAGTGTCTTATTTATGGTTGCTAGGCAAGATTTTTCAAATGGTAGTGATACTGTCAAATTTGGAGGAATAGGGATAGTGTTGGTAGAAAATGCAGGACCTTCCAGTAACTGGATAGAAGAATCCTGATTTCATTTTTTTTAAAGCAAAGCTGAAGTTTAACACAGAAAGAGGGGAGGGACTCCTTCACTGTCACTGCTGTCTTTTAGTAGATGTCTTGTTTTATTGATAACACTCAGGATTACCAAAAAATGAGTCCGAGTGTCCTGAAGTGATTAAAGCCTCATGCTGGCACTTGTTTTCAGAGCTCTTTACAAACCCTCTGAGTCTGTTTTTGCTGTGAGATGCTGTGACTGTTCACTTGATTTGACTTGGCTGAGGTGAGAAATACTTAAGGAGCTTTTAGTTTCTTGGGATTTGCATTTGAGTTTCCTTAGGGTAGACGATTTTCTGATATGGTGAGTATGTGACTCACCTCCTGGAGAGAACTGGAGCCCTGGCAGTGCTGCTCCCTGGGGACCCTGGAGAGGAGGGACAGGCTCTTGGGCTGGGAGTTTGCAGGCGAGTGAGACATTTCAAAGCAATTTATTGCTCTTGCTGTGTTAAATTGCGCTGCTGGAGAATACACAGTTGTGTGGAGGAACATTTCCAGACTCACTTAGAATTTCATGAGCCACAGCCCATCCAGGATTGCTTGTTTATCTCGTCTAGAAAACAAGACAGAGCTCTGCTGCATATTTAATTAGATGGGGGAAGGCAAAGAATTTTAAGATAAGATAAGATTATCTTCTGCTCCTCATCACAGCCCTCATGTAAAAAGTTTGCAGGGCATGCAAAAAAAGAGTGATGGTAAGTCATTTGGTTTTGAGGACACTGCACATGAAAACAGCTTTACAGAGTAATACTTCTTTCAGTTGAATACTCCTATGAATTCTTTTGTGTATATGACTAAAAAAAATCGTTGTGCAATCTTATGAAAATTAACCGGTGGGGGAACCTGGGGCTTCTGGAGGAAAAACTCTTTCAGTCCTGTGGCTGTTGAAAGCAGAAAAAGAAGAACAGGTGAAGAGAACCCGAGTCCAAGTATCTCATTGCTGTAATAGGCTGACGATAATCAGAACTAAGGTACTGGGAATGACAGTATAAAGTCAGTCAGAAAACAAAGAGCAATGGATTTTACATTGTGGCCTTTCAGTTCCAGTTCTGCAAAGGTTTTTGTGTACATTTAGGGAGGGGAGGATGACTGGCTGCTAGTCCTTGCTGCGGAGTCAGCTGCAAGAGCAGAGTCCGAGGTGGCTGAAGGGGTGTGAAGATGATGCAGAACCGGGATGGAGTCCTGTGAGGTTTTGTGTTTAGTTTTCCATCTTCAGTGTTGGCACCAGTGTGCAGCAAGTGTTACAACTACGTATCACTCTCACACAGAAAACAGAAATGTCAAGAGTCTGCACCACTACCACAGCAGCGAACCATCCTCTGCTCTCTCTGAGCTAGCCTGCTCCTTTGTAACTCAAAAACCTTCAGATCTGTGCTCTCCCCTTGCAGCGAGGGTCAGAGGAAGCATGGGGGACGTCTGTACAGCTAGTCAGCGTGTGAGTTGTTATCTGTACTGTCCAGGGCTTGCTGAGGAGCTGGGGTCCTGCTCTTCTCCTGGCAGAAGGAGGTGGGAGGAGGGGAAGATGGTGCTTTAAGCCTAGTTTTGCTAATTCTGCATCTCTGAACAAATTGTTACTGCTATACAATAAACTCCCTGTCTGGGAGTTTAATGGTCATGAAATAGTGGTTGCAGTCTGCTAATGAGTCACTGATGGGTATCAAGTGATGGATTGGTGAGGGGAGTGAATAAATGAGCCTCATGGGGATGTTTTGTAACCTGGGGGGTTGTGCATGTACTGGGCTAGGCACAGAACATCTCTAAGGAGGACGAAGGCCATCAGACTGCACACAAGGCTACCTTGGTCCTAGAGCATTCTGCACCTCTCTGCTGTTCAGGAAAGGGTTCAAGATGCTCTGGGCCAGAGGGAGATCCCCAGTGCACAAGGGAAAGCTTGATTTCCTAATGCAGTGGTGTATATAGCTTTTTATTAGCTTTCATGCAGCACAGTAAAACTCACCCTGGCATTAAGCATTCACGGTGCCAGAGAAACAAGTATAATTCAGGAACAAGTAACTGTCTCTGTGGCTTCATGAGGACCTCTGTGTCTTTGCACTTCTAAATGCTGGCATAATAAATCCTGAAGTGCTTTTTTGCTCACAGCAGATGTGATTAATATGGCTGTTAGCTGGCATGTCTTCTCGAGGAAACAATTGGCAACCCCTAGGTGGATAAGCACTGGAGGCCTGAAAACCCCAGGATTTTCTCCGCATTTCAGAAACTAAGACATAAAATACAAATGTTCTTCTTTTTTCTCTTCAAATCCATACATACACAATGTAAAGACAGTCACTTTTGCAATAAACATTTTGCAGAGTGCCTGTTAAAGTGAAAATGCGCTGCACAGCTGGAGTCCCTGTGGGGCTGGGCAGCTCCAAGCGCGACGTGAGCATCATGGCAGCACGTCCCATCCGCTGCCCGCAGCCCCTCCTGCCCACCCGGCTTGGGGAGCGAGGGATGTCCAGGTGTACCATGCCTCTTTTCTACTCAGCAGCATTTCTGCAAGGTGAGAAGGGGGCCTGCAGGGATGCTCAGGGGTGCTGAGCCCTGTAAGCTTCATGCTATAAATGCACCTTTCCTCCTCTTCACAACCATCTTCCCCCAGGGAAATCCTGAGCAGGACACAAATATCTTCAGTGACTTTACCAGGTTTCCCTTCTGCTTCTTCCAGCATAATTGCATCCACTGATTTCTGCTTGTTTGCAGCTGGAAGATCAAACCACCATTTATTTTCTGTATGGGTTCCTAATCTGGAAATTGATCTAATTTGCCTTACCAAATTATAAGCAAATTAAGCTAAACACATTGTGTTATGTCTCGATGCATTGTAGAGCTTTCATGAAAGAGGAAAAACACTGTTTGCCATTACTGCAAGTTTCTTCTTTCCTCAGTATCAATCACTTTGTGTTCTCAAAAAATATAAAACATCTCTATAAATGGTAGAGTTTTTCCTTGGGGCCAGAAGCCCGGTAGCTGGAGCTGCACCTTCTCACATCTTTCATCCTCTCAGCCCTTAAAGAATATCCTTGCCAACATCCCAAGCTCTATTCCCTTGCAGTCCCTCCCCTTGCTCTTAGACACACTTTGATTATCTGCAATATTGCATTTGATAGTATTACTAAATAGTACGGAAAAATTTCCTTTCGGCAACCGCCGCTTCCTTTTCAAATGGAATTTTTTTCCCTAATTGTAAATCAGCTTTAGAGCCTTGTATGTCTAAGGCTCTAAATAATAAATACCCCACTGCTCCAAATGAGACAAGTATTTTGCATTTCCATTTCCTGACCCATCAGGGAGAATTTTGTGCAAAACGCAGGAGAAATGTCAAAGTGATCAGACAGCATCGGTTTTGGTTCATTCTCTGGTTAGAACAGCTGATGTTATGGAAAACATCCAGCACTATCCAGACTTTGTGGAGACTGATTTCAAAGAGGGCAAATACTTTATAGGTACCGCTACATTTCCACGACAATTTTACTGACTGACAAATACTACGTCACTCGAGGTTTCTGACATAATTTCTTATTTTACTGATTTAAACCTGAAACATATCTGAAATATATTTCTTTGCCAGGAAAGTTTGCAGTCTGGATGTGAGATGGACTCCCCATCTGTATTTATAGCCACAAACATTGGCGTGAGTTTCCGTCCGCCAAACCACATTTATTCTGAGATAGGGGAAATGCTGTTCCTCCTCAAAAAGTCTGTTTAATGATTTGCAAGGTTATTTTTTAGTTGAGAACAATTAAGAACTCTAACAGCTTAACTGGCTGTGATAATTAGCAGCCACTAAGCCTATCTTTGGGGAAATACAGCAAGCTGTCCTATTTTTGTCCTACCATAGTAAAGACTGAGAAAATAATGTATATACCCATTGCTCTCCTGAGAAGCTCTTTGGGTTGGAGAGCCTGGGGCAGAGCCTGGGCTGGGCGTTAGCTGCTGCAGTGGTGATCTCTGCCCGCCTAGCTCAGAAGGTGTGTCGTTTTGGTAAACACAGGCGATAAATTTAACTAGTCATCATGACGCAAGCAAAAACTGTTGGCAGCCAGGGTAGAAATGCATGCTACTCCCTTCTTACAGGAAGGGGTAGTTTTACGTTATTAACTCCTAGAAGCAGCCTTCTGGCTCCTGCTGGTCCCCCTGTGCGCTCCCAGGCCGGTGTGGAGGCAGTGGCCCGGTGCCAGCTGGCGCGGGATGCTGGGGAGGCTGCTGGGGTGCAGCCCTGGGCTGTGGCGGCGGGTGGCTCGGCCGGTCCTGCACCCCGCCAGAGCTGTCAGCAACAAAGCGAAGGGCGCTCAGGACGCGGCTTTGCAGACGGCTAATCCAGGTGGGTAGAAAGGCTTTGATCGCTGTTTCATGCTGCAGCATGGAGGGAAAGGGTATTTGCAGGAAAGGGTGAGAAAATGACCCTTTTCTCATATGTAGCTGTATTATCACAGTGCTGCATCTCCTGGGGTTACAAACGCTCCCAAGACATGGAGCAAATTGAGAGTTCTGACTAGCACGGTGCACAGGGATAAAGTTTTTTGTGTTAAATAGTCCTCCTCCTATGGCAGCAAATACAAACTGATACTTCATGTCAGGGAACCTGTTAATTTCAAAAAATAAATAAATCTTCCTCCTTGTACCCAGCTGCCAGGTTTCCAGAGGAGGACCGGTGCACATCCCTGCACTTGCAGGGCTGGTGCAAGCGGCAGATTTGCACGCCTCTGCTCCCCCCGACACTCCCTGCCAGACTGCATCCATAGCTGTGCGTGCTGGCGGCAGGCAGTGCCCTTGCTTACCTGGCAGGCAGCAGGCATGGGTTGCTCCCATGTGGCCAAGCTCCCTGGCATGGAGATAGTTTCTTTTAATCTCTACCACCACCTCCTTGGCCGTGCCTTCGCAGACTCCTCACCCTAGCGAGGCTGGGCTGCATGGGGCTGCCGGTGCTCCCACGGGATGGCTGTGGCTCTCCAGCATAGGTCTTTGCCCTTGTCTTTCCTGGGGTGGACCCTGTCCTTGTAGTGATCCATCCTAACGCTTGCTGCAGATCCGATTCAGACACTTGCTGATATTTCAGATGTAGCTCTCCTGGTCTCACTGGCACTCTGTAAGAGAAATAGGAGAAGAAGGAGATTAAATTTACCTGGGGGTCTGAGTGCCAAGATTTACACCTGGGATTTTTCAGCCATTCACATGTCCTGGCATGTGTGAGCAGGCCTGGGGCCGAGACACTTAATGTAATTTCACCATCTCAACACAGGCAAGAAGAGATGCTCCTTGTGCCCTGCACTGTAGCGGCAGTGATCTCCTTTCAAGCAAAGCACTAGCAATCCAGCAACAGCCAGGGAGTGCAAGACACCGAGACTGGGGGCATCTTCATGTCCATCCCTTCCTGCATGCCCTGGTCACCCACAGGGCATTTCTAAACACCAGTCCCACATTTGCAAGCACGGGGCACTGTAACGTAGCATCTTGGGTGCACCTGCCTGGGTGTGTGAACAGTCCCAGCTACCTCGTGATGCCCACCTGTACAGGTGTGCAATGCAAAAGCCAGGATTTGAGCTAGCCGTTGCTTACCCTATTTTTGCAGGGTGTCCCTGCCACTGCCCTCATCATGGCCCATCATTGGGCTCATTTCCATCAAGAGGAGCCAGAGACCCTTTCTCATTGTGCTCACGGTGACAGCATGCTAATGGCATCACCATGGTAGTCTGGTGGGGTGTAATGTATCATCATTAGAGTACAGTAATGTGGTACCCAGCTTGCATGAGAATGACTGCCAGCCTCCCACCAGGCTGTATTTTAACAGATCTCGTCTCTCCATCACACTTTTAGAAGGAGATGCTGTCGAGGAGTTATTAGCGCTGCTGGCAGTTTGTTTAACTCACTAGTTGGGCCATTTAAAAGCAAGATGCTAGCAGGGTGAGAGCATGCTGCGGCCTTGGGTGACTTCAGTCCCACATCCTTTCCTCCCTTAATCAGGAAGGTTAGAAGAGATTTTTAGTTTAAAACCTACCTAAACTAAAGGAAAAAAAAATAAGCAAAATGAAATAAGCTGCAAATGTAACAAAGCACCTCACACCGGCTGCTGAGTCCTTTTGACATTAGAAAGCACATTTGGCTCTCACAGAACAGAAAAGTGCCATTCTGAACTTTCAATCCTTTTTCCCCTGTAATGACTGCTTCTTTCCTCTTCCCTTCTTTAAGCTTAGCTCATTGTTTTCTTTTATAAAATCTCTTACAGGTTACAAAGCTTTCAAAAATGACAGAAGGCCTACAAATTTTGATAAAAAGGTGTTAGTATGGGCAGGACGCTTTAAAAGGGAGGAGGACATTCCCAAGCACATATCGTAAGTAGACCTGTCTAAATAATGCTTTGGATGGGATCGTACAGATTGAGACCCCAGTCTGCATTACCCAGACTTGTGCTCACGTGGTGAGGGTTAGTGCTCCTCCTTGCTGACGAGGCCTGCTGCTACTGGTGTCCAAAAATAATCTGAATTTTTGGGAATATCAACTTTTTTTCATGCCCTGTGAAGTAAACTGGATTCACTTATTTTAGATATCATGAGTTTCAGACTAAGCTGAAGTGTCTTTTGCAAGACAAGTGTCTTTGTAACTCAGAAGTCACCATGGTAAAATATCACCCACTTTGGATTTTTGCATGCTTTGCTAGTTTTTATTGACTAGCAATTAATAGTGCTGCATACATTTTAAAAAGAAGTTGGGGCTATACACAGCTTTGGTGACAGACATCTGCAACGAGTTCCTTACTGCTGGGCTATGGTTTCACCTCCTTGTCAAGGTATTTTGTTAAAGGATTGTCACTCAGTTTTGAGACCTAATGCTTCCTGACTTGTGACATCCTGGGGGCTCCTCCAGCTGCCCTTCCCCTTGCAGGTGTAAGTAAATCCATGGCTGGATATGATTTCATGAATGACTTATTGCCACGCTGCAGTCTCTTGCAAGTGTGAATTGTCACAGTGGAGATTTCCCAGCGACGGCTGCGGCTGTTCAGCTGCTTGGGAATACAACTCTGGATGGACGGCGCAGTTGTCTGCTCCAGCTCAGGCTCAGCCTCCCACCGCAGGCAGATGCTTGTGGGGCTGATGTCAGCTGCCTGGCAGAGGACTACGCCGCAGAGGGACAGGGCTGCAAAGCCTCACGTGCAGCTGGGATGGCGACGTGGCCACAGAACCAGTCACCACTTGCTGTGCCTCTTCACTGTGTGAAAACTCTCTGTTGGTCTTAGCCAAAATGTCATGCATGTGTTTTTATTCCACTGAGGGTGGCATTGCCTGGCCCTGGTGGCACAGCCCCAGCGTCTCCTGGGCCTGTGCAGCACCCCATGCCCTGCAACACCCAAAGCTGGGCCCCTCGTAATTCCATTATCACAATGAAAAGACTTTCCTGGGCTTGTAATTTTTCGGGTGTTCACTCTCATATGCAATAAAAGAAGGCAAGAGAGCAGGACTTGTTATTCCTGTCGTTATTGGTGACTGTTGGGAGCAGCAATACCCCACCTGTGTGGGAGGGTGGATAAATCTTTCCCCCATAGGCCAATTTTTTGAGTCCTCCTCTAAGCACTTGCAGAAAGAGAAGGCTGAAACACATTGTACATTAATAAGCAGTTGCTGGAAGCCTTGAGGATTCATTACTCAGCTCCCCATGATCTCATTTCACACATGCTGCTGCAGGATGGAAACTCTGCTCTGTCCTCTGCAGGTCTGAGGTCCTTGACGCAGCAAGGAACAGCGTCAGGATAAAGGTTTGCTACATCATGATTGCACTGACCTTGCTGGGCTGCTTGGCCATGGTAATCACAGGCAAAGAAGTAAGTATAGTTTCTGGGTGAAGTGAACCGATCCACTTAATGTGTGGTCTATGTATGCTCTCTTCGTAAATAAGTGCCTGTGTGACAGATGATAGGTTTGAGAATAAGTCCATGTAAGCAATATTTGCACAGGATCTGTATCACTCCATTCTCTGGAGGAGAGATTGGCATGGGGAAGCACAATTTGCTGGTTAATGTGTTCCTTCTGACGCACTTTACCATAAACCCGTGCAGTGCAATGCTCTGTATCATGGTATCTCAGCAAGAGGCCGGTCCAAAGGTTGTGGAGTAGCTCAGACAACATCAATAGTGCCTGGTCCTGCCGTGCATCCGTGGGCCATGAGGCTCCTGTGGTCCTGCCTGCCTAGCCTGCGTGCCACCATGGCCACCAAGAGCTGTGACAATCACTTCTTCCCATCCCACTGGTGGGGAAGGAGGGTGTCCAGCCTGACTTGCATGTCCCAGTGCACCTGTAAACAATTTACAGTGTAATTTTCCTGCTAATCAGAGCTGCAGATGCTAAAAATTTGGTAAAACAAGGAAACATCAGCTTCTGTCACCACAAAATATCAAAAAGTACAGTGGGGTGTCAAAGCAAGTGGTGCAAATGCGGAGAAATTTAGTGGTGGGAAATGTGTGCTCGCAATGATTTTCACCATTTGTTTTCAAGGCTGCTAAAAGGGATCACACGCTGCTGAGGATGAACATCGAAAAGAAGGCCAAATGGAGGGCTGAAGTGGAGAAAGATGAGGAGGCAGCTGTTGGGAAGCCACAATGATTGGGAACAGATGTATTTTAGCAACAGGAGAGAAGTGATTTGCACACATGGCATATGCACCTGTCTTCATTTAACTCTGGAGCTTTTTCACTGAAACTCTCAAGGGAAAGACTTCACTGCTTAAAAACTGCTCTGTACAAACTGGGAAACTTCTATGGAAACTCCAGCAGCTGCTTTCTGTGGCCTCTGGTCTTTGGCACTGGGTTCTGCTGAAATACGGAAATCTCTTCTAAACTGGAAAGTGTGGGAAGGACAGATGCAGGACCCTCCAGCTCAGGATCAGCTTTTCATGGTGCTGCTGGTGCATACTGGTGCATGGCCATGGGGCTGTCTCCTCGCAGTCGCGAAGGATGTGGCCCCACAGCAGAGAGCATCCCATTCTGTGCAATGCCTCTAGTGCAAACAGCCTTGGCCAAAGTGACCCAGAGCAGAGGGAAAAGAAGCCTGAAACATGTGTTGCAAGCACAAAGAGGTCAATTGTCTCTACCTGTGAGCCTGCTGCCAGCACTGTCTCCTCTCCCTCCCCAGCCCCTCATGGGGTCCCATGGCCGGGGGAGAGAGGGGACATGAGCATGAAGAAGGGCTGGGAGGATGGGGGAGTGTGAGCAGACCCTGATGACTGATTTGGGCCAAAAGGAGCTTTGGGCCAGAGGAGATGGCAGTGATGTGGAGTGGTAGCATGGCCATGTGGAGTGGTTTGGTTGCTGCTGGGCAGCCCAGGGAACCCGTGCCCAGCAGAGGGAGCCTGGCCTGGAGGCACCTCTCGTACTGTTGCACCTCACTGGTTTTTCATCTGCTTCCAGTCATTGTCATGAAAGTTCGCTAGCACTTGCTGAGTTGTGATTTTAGTCAGGAGTAATTGCTAATATATGGTTTGCTAAAACTGGATTGTTTTTAATCATCATAGTTCATTAATTCATAATAAAACAGCTGTCCAATTACATCTAAAACAAACGCATCTCTTCACAGCTTCATTTAAAGTGTCACCAAACACTCTGGGATGATGTTTAACAGATGGGAGACATCCTAATGAAATATTGAAAGTTTCGTTTTCATGAAGTGATTAAACTTCAAGACAGGCCCCAGTTCATCCTTGTCGGCACTGACGGTCTGAGCCCCCGTGCATCATTTGTAACCCAACACCTGTAAGACACGCTGGTGGAGCTGGGTGCGCTGCATGGGGTGCCGAGGGCCATGGAGTGACAAAATCCAGCTGTCTCACCCTGGCTGCCATAGAACTTAACCACGTTCAGCCTTTGTGCAGTCTCCTGAGCATCACACCAAAGCTTGGCTTTTGCAAGGTTTATTACTCAGGTCAGTTGCACTTGTGCTCCAGGGGAGTCTGGAAGCTCCCGCTCAGGTCTCTGGGGTTTATTGTGTCAAAAATCCTGTCCACTCATTGCTGGTGTGTCACTATATGAGCAAGCTGCTGGCGAGGATGGGCTGGGGCATTGGCAGGTGGTCAGCAGTCATTGGACTCCATCTCCTGTGCCTGTGGTCGCTGGGCAGCTTTTTCCCTCTGACGCTTCTTAGGAGCACTTTTCTCCACATTGCACACCCGTTTAGGATGAGGAGCATGTGTGAGGGGGATGTTATATCTGTCACAGCTTGGCATTTGCAGTCCTTGTTTCCAACTCACAGCCCCATGCAGCACAATTCACCAAAAGTCATGTCTGCTCCCTGTAGTATTCCTCACAAAGCGCATCTCAGGGAAGTGAAAATAATGGTCTAGGACAAGCACAGAGTGAAAAAGTCTCTGTTGAGAAGGCACTTTTGCCTGCACAGGTAATATGGGCTCTTTCATTTTACATGACCTGGTTTTCTTGATTAGTGCAATAAACCTCAAGAATTACCTCAAAGTTAGTGTTCATTTGGGGATAAACTAAAACAGCTCTGGTCAGTCTCTTAGATTATTTTTTTTTAATTCTTAAATGGCTTTCATGTGATCTTTTGAAGAAGGCATATGTAACGCTTAAAGGAACCCATTTCAATGCTTGTAAACAAACCCACATCCATGTTCTGAGCTTCTCTGACTTAAGCAGGAAAGGAGATTACCATACCCATATATAAAGAACAAGCAAATTAACTGTGACTTGTTCCACTCTCTGCTCTGCACTTCCCTCTGCCTGGGATAAAAAAACCTGCTTCAGGTGTGAGCTAATACCAAATCCTCTTAAACAGCCTGGGTCTCTGTTACCTAGTGCATAAAGATGCTGCATTACACATCATCATTAAGAAAAAGGAAAAATCAATTCCTCCTGCCTGAGCCACTGATGATGGGCCACTTCTGATTTTGGGCTCTTGCAGAGAGCTATGACTACTATATAGGGAATAATCCTTTCCCAGTCCTGGCTACATGATTATTCATTTTAATATCGTAATATTCCCCCAAAAATCAATCACACTAATCGCTGGCTTGCACCCAGTTGGTGGCTGCTGGCACTGGTGTAGCGCAGCCTCGGCTGGAGCCGTCCTCTGTACTAACTGGAGATGCCAGCAGAGGACATTGCACTGCTGATGCCTCTCCAACACTGGGACTTATCACTGCTTGTTAAAATTGGTTTCCATCTGTGTTCGCAAAGTTCTTTGACTCTTCTCTTGAAAAGCTTCTAATTAACACAGCTTCCTGAATGTATAATTGGCTAATCCTCACCACCTTGGGGTTGTGTGGGTTTTTTTTTACTTCCCCTCCCATCTATATTGCTTCAGTGTCACACTTCATCCCCCAGTCATTTAAAAAAAGGGATGGGAGCTGTTATTAGGTAGGAGCTATTCTTCCCCTTTTAATAATGTGCCCTGTGTTTCCCCAGCCTGGCCCTGAGGACAATGTGAGGGGCTGGCTCCTCTCTGAGGCAGGGCATGGAGCTGTGAGTGTGCTGGTTTGCTGTGATGCTTGGGGAGACCAAGGGTGAGTCCTTTCAACTCTCACCTCCTCATTTACTGCTCTGTACAGGAGGAAAGAACGCTTCCTCCCTTGCAGGATTTTTGCCATTTTAATGAACTTCTATATGGAAATGTTTAACAATGTGCTAGAGGATGGTGCCATAGAGATTTGCATTATAATAACAATTATTGGGGAAGATTTTCCCTAGTAGCTGGACTTGATCTAATTCTGTTTCCATTAAACTCAATGCTGTGGTTCCTCCTGGCTGTGAATTAAGGTTATCATCCACCATTTTTTGAAGTCTCAGTGATTTGCAGACACTCCGCTTCCCCAGGGAGCCAGGCTGCTGTGGGCCAGAGCTGGGTGCACTGAGCTTTCTTCTGCTAATATGGTGAGATTGCACTCGTACGGGAGGCTCTGCATCATGAGCATCCCAGTGCCTTGGAGAAAAGGTGTGAGATGGGAAAGTCTGAGCTTAGGAGATCTCACTCCCTTCCTTGCTCATTTTAACCCTTTTTTTTGACTCTCTCAGGGGGTTTCTAGTGACACTTGATTTCTTTCCATCCACCTGCCATGGGCAGCTCTTCTGGGATGCAGCAAGGCTGATGTGATCCTGCACTTGCAAAGGACTTTTTCCCTGGATACAGATGAAATCTTGCCATTCAGAAAGATCTCATTTTAAAGACTTCCTTGTTCTTTCAGTGTTTAATCTCCCACCAAGCTGGGAAACTGCTGCATATTTTAAGGCTGAATGCACCCAGCTTCAGCTTGCAGGAATTGGATATTGTCTTCAATATGGAATATAAAACATCCTATCTCAGCTCTTTCCTGTGTGTAACTAGTCACCCCTCAGCTATTGTTTGGAGATGGATTCCTGCTATGTTCAAAACACCTGTAGTTTCTAACTATTGCTTGGTGGGTATCACAGGCTTGCTGGCCAATTAAGTGATTGACCCTATAGTGAATGTATTCCTCTATCAAGTGATTTACTACATTAGGAGCCTCTTAATAAACAATCCAAATAGAATTTTTGTTTAGTTTAGCATAGAATCAATAATCTAGTACTCTTGCAGAAAGAAAGGATGTAAAAGCTTTCCAGACTGCTGACTACCCTGGAAAATTGAAAAGCACAGTGGTGATGCATCAGAAACTTGTTCTCCTCTTTCTGTGCCCGAGGGGCCAGCACCTGCGGAAGCAGCATGGCCAGCCAGTGGCTGCAAATCTGCTTTTGCTCCTGGGACTCCCAAGGGTCAGTTCAAAGGAGCTTCAAGGTTGAAGGTCTCCTCTGGGTGAGATGTAATGATGGCTTGGACCTGTAAAGGGACCTGCTCCCTCTTACCACAAAGATCTTTCCAGCTTGGAGCAGCCTTATGCTTTCTGCTTTGCTCAGCATCACTGCGGCAAATAAGCACTGGCTGCTGCTGGCCCACAGGTACCTGGGGCCCTCATGCCCATCATGATTTCAGAGGTGGCTTAAACACCACTCTCCTGTTTGGATTTGGCACAAAGTCGTTCTAGCCTAGCAGGAAAGCAAGGCCAATGTTCAATAATTTGAATTAATTAATGGATTATTCATTAATGCATTGAGGTAGCCATTAAAGCAATTTTCCATGGTTAAGTAGTTTGATGATCATTAGTGCTGTATGATTTATTGCAAAACCTCTGTGACAGTTATGGTAAGTAGGTAGCTCCTGAAGAGCTCTTAAAGGACCTTAATTTCTTTGCTCTGCACGGCATCTGGACACAAACCTCAACACTACACTGGTCTAGCTGGCTCCACACCTTGTCTGTGCATGAGACAAGCTTTCTACATGGAAATCTAAAGCTGGGATCTGATTCTTCCTCTGTAGCATTGCGCTTCCTCATGAAGGGACCTTGGGCTATTTGGGAAGGGACTGCTGTTAGCTGGGTGTGTGAGGGCTTGCCAGAGGGAGGAGGTCAGTCTGGAACAGGATTTCATAGGAAATAGTTGGGCATGCTCATGATTTACATATGCTCTGCCAGTGAGACTAGACCAGAAAATCGAGGGATTTGCATGCCAATTTGTAATGTGCTTCTCCCAGATGACATGTGGCCCTGAGACTTTTTCTAAATGAAATGGAAACCAAAATAGCCC